CGTCAAAACTATCTTGGCCAGGTACTCAATAACCACAAATACTGGGCAGGATCAAGAGAAACCGCAGCCTTAGCTAAATTATGCACTTCAAAAGTGGACTCCCTTTTCTCGTGCTTCACAAAAACACCACCTATTTCATCCATTGTTGCATGGACCTCCCTGATGATCATGCTACTAGGTCCCAAATAAACTGAATTCAGATGCTTCACTGTATCCGAACAGTCTGTTGCCAGATGACACACACAAATGTTGAGATCGGCCGCAAAAGAGATAGTGTTATTGCCTCAAGAGTCTCGTGATCATTCATATCAGGAGCCCCCAATTTAAACCATTTGCACCACTGCACTGCACACAGCAGCCGAAGAGCCTTTATCTCGGTGTCTTGAAACAACAAGAGCCTTTAGCGCTAACCATTGATTCCTTACATAAGATACAGCCGGTGCAATCTTTTGAGCTTTCCCCGGGATCAAATCCAAGTCAGCAAGATACCTTGTGATAAACATTAAGATTGAAACAGGCGGTTGGTCTTCCTGTTCACGGACCACCTTCCTCCCGACCCACCATATCACCCACAATGTGACTAGGTCTTACACAACCAGCTTGTCCGACAGACCCCAGGAGGTCAATCAGCCACAACAACCTTTCATCTAAAAGTGACCACACACACTTCGGCATATGGCAGTCAACCAAAGTGTGTGGTCAGCTTTTCGGAATACACTGTTTTCTCCGCGAGAATCTTATGAGAGAAAGGAGTATATCACGTGCATTACTGATCTGTACTTGATCACAGCCAGGAAACCGTTCTCTCCTCCAACCTTGAAAAGTTTGCAAGCGCGTGACCAACCATATTTTTCACTCTATCAATCTGCACAAGATTTACCATATGTTATGTGACGCAGCCTCATGATGAGTGCTTCTATCTCAGAACATCTGGAACCATGTTGCTAAAGCACATTTTAAATCTTATTATGTGAATGGAAAACTAAATTACTCAGATGGTCATGATTGGTGGCAAGACCATCTTTTTTTTCGACAAAGGGAATATATTAATATTGTGAAGATATCAACTACACCCAGTCTCTACACCAACAAGATGTCCAAAGGCATCCAGGATACACACATACAAAAAAGAAAAAGAACAAAAAAAAGACCCGTCAGGATGATCAATCACTAGCATCAGCAGCAATCTAACCACCACTGAAGACAACACCCGGATTACAAAAAAGGTTCTCCAAAACAACACCTCCTAGAAGGAAACAATGCACAAGCGTTGTCGTTGCCCGATCGAAGATCTTGGGTTTTCACCCTGGAGAAAGTCCAAGTTCACCCAAAAACAATGCCTTCAACAAGGACATTGGCAAGACCATCTATACTACACTCACTTAACTTTGCTGTATGTATGTACATATAGGATTAGTTTTCCATGCTTCTTGATGTGTAATACCTCACTTAATTTCCTTGTACTCCCTCCGTTTTATTTGCTCTGCAAAGTTGACCAAAATTTATAGAAAAAATAAATGCCAAATAAATACCACTAGATTCATAATTGAATATATTTTCACATGATATATATTTTCCATTGCAAATGTTCATATTGCTTTTTATAAACTTATTATGTCAAAAGCTAATATGCAGAGTAAATAAGAACAAAGGAAGTTTATTTGTACATCTAGGAGCAATACAACAAGAGATTGGATAATGTGTCGAGAAAGAAATGCATCCCTGTCTCCCTGGAAAGGCCAAACCACCCTTTCAACAAGCCCTAATGCCAGTCTACTCTCCTATTTATCTATGGTCACACTGATTGCAATTATGCAAACCCACATTACATAGACAGCGTTAAGTTAGCGTCACCAACCTGGTTACTAAACTTGTTTAATTAATACATCTTGGCCAATTATTTAGTCCTCTACACTAGCTCATCTGTTTTATGTTGGTTTGTGTGGTGTGTGGCTTGTACTTTCTAGCTACGTGTAGAGTGGAGTTTAGTATTATACTTGGATCACGGTGATGCAACCTGCACAAGGACAACCACCGTACTCTTTGCATACATGTGTAGGTGGCTAGCTATCCGATGTCTATTTTGCAGCAACATTTGCAGAGAGTCAACTGTTTGGACGGTTTTGTACTTGGCTTCACCAACCACTACCTTTTGATGGGCCAAACATAGTAGCAACCAGCTGTGTGGAGAGTCAATTTGCTTCGTATAATCAGTCATTTAGTGCACTTAACAACGAACGATCTCAATCATACATACATATAGGGTATCATCTAGAGTATATGAACGGTATGGCAACCCCGATAAGTTCAAAGGGACAGACATGCCCTCTCAGACCATATATATCTCATTAATCTGAAGATCTTAGTTAGACTTAGGCCGCTGGTGTTAACCAACCATTAAACAGAAGTTGCACTGCATAAATAAAACCAAGCGTCAAACAAATAATGCTAGACATTAATCCTGATGAGTAGATCAATTGTGGAAAAGGAAATGAAATAGAAATAGAAGTTTAAAACTTGAAATGAAGAAGCTATGTCTGGAAAAGCTTATGGAAGCTCTTCTAGCTACTGATATGAATTGATAAGAAGTTGCAACGTACAAGATAGGTACACAATTTTGACGGCAAAACTCACGGAGTCTTATTTGGGCACTTGTGCAGATGGATCTGGCTGGCATGATCCGATGATGGCCAGGTCCCTTGCATTGTCCCCAGTCTATGGACCTAGGTGGAGGAGTGCACTTTTTTGGCATGTTTGGGTTGGTGGCTGCTCAATGGTGGTGTGCCCGCGACTTGGCCCTCTAGCTTCACGCGGCAGGCTACCCCTACGCATCCCACTCGTATGACGGATCGTCTCCGGTGAGTATCCATTGTGTTCTGGCGATGGTCGGAGTGTCTCGGTGTCGGTGCAGCTGTTAGCACACTTAACCTTTGTCTACAAGGGCAAATCTAGTGTATGAGCAAATGCCCAATCCGTGAAGTAAATCTTGATCCACGATTCTGATGCGAACTGGGGCATTGCAGCAGCACTTTCTCTGGTAAGTTGGTGATGTCAACACATGGGACTTTTTCTCTCGTGGTGCTATTTGAGTACCAGATCTCAAGTTTTAGGGCGAAAACACTAGGTCTGACGTTCACTCAGTGTAAATGACAATGATGGTTTATGCTCCCTTGTTGAACACACCGTCTAGAGTTTGCTTGAATTTTCTCTTTTGGGTGAAAACTCACGATCTGGCTTAAGCTGTTCGATTCCACCACGATGATGTTCATGAACCATTTCCTTGCGGAAGGCATCACCGCTGGGGAACCTCCTCGCCGCCCAGGTGCTGGTGAACCATTTATGAATCAATGGGAAAACGTCCTTTATCGGAAAAGGGGTAGCGCACACACACATCTCTGGATGCAACTGAGTTATTTCCAACACAATAAATAATACTATTAATAACGTAAAATTTAAATTAATTACTGTGCCAAGAGGCGTGCAACAAGGGAAATTGAAAGATGTACGTGAGGTCACTCCCTGTCCCCTTCTAAGTATGTATATGCTGTCAGTGTCAAGGTTGACATAGTTGCGAGCCAAGTGTGTGCGTGTGTTGCAAAAGTCAGAGCGCGCATCGACTGCGTGCAATGTACACACCCTTTGGTTTTGAGGAAGACCGCATGCAATGTGTGTGTACGTATGCCACTGCCACCATGGTCGTAGGCTCGTCGCCGTGGCCGTTGGATCGCAGCAAAAGTTGCACGAAACAAACTGAAACCGTGTGCATGTACGTACGCGATGGGTGCTTCCTTGAGGTGCTTGTACTCCGTGCTGTGGCCGACCTGTGCCCTCGAAGTTGTACTACAACCGAAATAATCATTTCGCCTGCATTGGCGGGTAGTAGTATTAATCCACAGCAGTTAAATTGATTAAGCTGCAGCTAAGCTAGCAACACAGAGCCCATGCGATTGCCAGAAACAGAGAGAGAGAGAGCACATGCAAGGAATCTTGCAGAGTTGCTGTTGCAGAGAGTGGTAGTTAAGAGGAGATCTGAACTGAGACTGCAAGAAAACCGAAAATTTGCAACAAGTTTGCCCAGCTGCAGGTCGGGTAGTCGCCAGCAGGCAGGCAGATCGAGACCTGGACAGTGCATATTCTGATCTGATCCTTGGTCCATTCCAGGGGGCGAGGGCGCTGAGATGCACGCGGCGACGAGGTTAATCGTGCTAATTAATCCCTCTCTCGACTGCGTTGCACGCCCGTTGTTTAATCCCAATTGCTGCTGCCATGATTCCGTCAGATGCAATAATACATTCTTCTGCCTGTCTGTCTTACCCTTCAACGCTAACCAAGAGAGATGCATCTTGATCACCCCTAAAAAAAGAAGATGCATCTTGATCACAAATTCCCAATGTCAACTCCTGCTTTGTATCCTACTATAAATACCCAATCGATCCGGGATCCCAAGCACCAAACAACACAACCATTAGCAACTCCTAATAGTTGCCGGCCACTGCAAGTAGTTAAGCTTAGCTCCAAGGAGCTAGCAGAGAAGAAGCCCAGCTCCGTAAGGAGAGGAGAGGCAGAAATGGAGGTGGAGGCCAGCGCTCATGGTGACACGGCGGCGAGCAAGTTCACGCTGCCCGTGGACTCGGAGCACAAGGCCAAGTCCTTCAGGCTCTTCTCCTTCGCCAACCCACACATGCGCACCTTCCACCTCTCGTGGATTTCCTTCTTCACCTGCTTCGTCTCCACCTTCGCTGCGGCTCCGTTGGTGCCAATCATCCGTGACAACCTCAACCTCGCCAAGGCCGACATCGGCAATGCCGGAGTGGCGTCCGTGTCAGGGTCTATCTTCTCCAGGCTGGCCATGGGCGCCATCTGCGACCTTCTTGGGCCGCGGTACGGCTGCGCCTTCTTGGTCATGCTCTCGGCTCCCACGGTCTTCTGCATGGCCGTCATTGATGACGCGTCGGGCTACATCGCAGTCCGCTTCCTCATCGGCTTCTCCCTCGCCACATTCGTGTCGTGCCAGTACTGGATGAGCACCATGTTTAACAGTAAAATCATCGGCACGGTGAATGGCCTCGCGGCCGGGTGGGGCAACATGGGTGGCGGCGCCACGCAGCTCATCATGCCCCTCGTCTTCCATGCCATCCAAAAGTGTGGTGCAACACCCTTTGTGGCATGGCGTATCGCCTACTTTGTGCCGGGAATGATGCACATTGTGATGGGCTTATTGGTACTCACAATGGGTCAAGATCTCCCTGATGGCAACCTTGCAAGCCTCCAGAAGAAGGGAGACATGGCCAAGGACAAGTTCTCCAAGGTCCTTTGGGGAGCCGTCACCAACTACCGGACATGGATCTTTGTCCTCCTCTATGGCTACTGCATGGGTGTCGAGCTCACCACTGACAATGTCATCGCCGAGTACTACTACGACCACTTCCACCTAGACCTTCGCGCCGCCGGCACCATCGCTGCTTGCTTCGGCATGGCCAACATCGTTGCACGTCCTATGGGAGGATACCTCTCCGACCTTGGCGCTCGCTACTTTGGTATGCGTGCTCGCCTTTGGAACATCTGGATCCTCCAGACAGCTGGCGGGGCCTTTTGCATCTGGCTCGGTCGCGCCTCGGCCCTCCCCGCCTCGGTGACTGCCATGGTCCTCTTCTCCATATGCGCCCAGGCTGCATGTGGCGCTGTATTCGGTGTCGCGCCATTCGTTTCCAGACGTTCCCTTGGGATCATCTCTGGGCTCACTGGCGCTGGTGGCAATGTGGGCGCGGGGCTCACACAACTTCTATTCTTCACATCATCGCAATACTCCACTGGGAGGGGTCTCGAGTACATGGGCATCATGATCATGGCTTGTACGCTGCCTGTCGCTCTTGTGCACTTCCCACAGTGGGGCTCCATGTTCTTCCCAGCCAACGCCGATGCCACAGAGGAAGAGTACTACGCCTCCGAGTGGTCGGAGGAGGAGAAAAGCAAGGGTCTCCATATCGCAGGTCAAAAGTTTGCCGAGAACTCCCGCTCGGAACGTGGTAGGCGCAACGTTGTCCTTGCCGCATCTGCCACGCCACCCAACAACACGCCACAACACGTATAAGATCAAAATTTTCTCTTACCTACCAAACATAAAGTCACCGCATAAACATACATATCATGTAGTTCTCCTTGTATATGTTAGGAAACGTTCAAAGTTCATCTATATGAAAGAAACGTGTATACAGGAACAACTTTGAATTTTGTGTACTCTCTGTTCTTCCTCCAAGCAACTTTAAATACGTGCAGTTATGTGTGGCCGGCCAGGAGGTCTGCACTTACATATAGAGTGCAACTTATAACAGTTTGCCACATCTTTTGCGTTTGTTTTCATAGAATCAAAACTTCTAGCCTAATTAACAACATTGAGCCCAAATGTTGCCATTGGCCTCTCTAATATATAGGAATTCTGACCTATCAAAGCCACATGTCAAGCCCTACTCAACTCCAAGGTGCACACCACTTGAACATGATATTGCCACACATTACCAAGATATAAATATCTACTCCTATAAAAGATCGAGCTGGTGATGATGGTGTATCTGCCATCTGACATTTCTGACCATCCTATCTAAATCTAACGCATGTGATGTAAGCCATGGTGTTTTTGCATAAAGAACCCCGCCAGTCTACTCCTAATTTGCAAAAAAAAAACGTTTTAGTCTCTCCAGACAAGTTCACCCCCTTCACACACAATCAAATAAGAGGAATAATTTTCTGGCCAACTCTAACATATTCAATGATACACGCGGTGCGAAAGAGAAAGGAATGGGAGGAGGGAAGTGGGTACACCAATGCTTATGGGCATCATACCAACCAGAGAAAAGGTTCTTCTCTGTCCGAACCAGCTAGTAGCTGCACTATGGCAAGTTTTTGCCATGTAGGGCCTGGCACGTGGGCCTGTTCTATCATAATTGTTCTTAGTAGGGCCCGAGAGGAAGACTAGGGCTCAACGTTGATAATTAAGCCAGAAGCTGTGGTTTTTTGGAAACAAACTCAAAATTTGTGGTGAACTATATGCGCTGAAGGTCAGTTTCCTTGTATTAAATATTTTCTAAAATAAGAACACTAGCTCATCCTTGATGCCAATTAATGGAACTCGGACTTTAGGTCATACTCTTCAGTGCTAATTTTCCTTTTTTTTGTGTGTATAGAAGATATTGACTATCCCTTGTGAAGGGACTCTCGCTCGCCTCTCGCTCGTGACCACGGCGACTCCACGCCTCTCGCTCTCCATTACCGACACCTCCATAGATCTAGCCACCTCAACTGCGCGGCATGCCTCCGCGCCGGCGAGATCCGCGAGCGGCGACCGCGGTCGCATCCCATCCGCGCCGGCGAGATCCGCGAGCGGCGACCGGGGCCGCACCCCCTTCCCCTCCTCGACTGCCCCTCCACATCCTCGAATCCTTCCCGGAGATGGTGAGGCTGATCTCACCGGTTCCGCAGGGGATACTCATGGCGACCGGGGCTCGGGGATGGGTGGAGCGGGCGACCAGGATCCGCGACGCCACCGCGGTGTGGATCCGGAGCGTACAGGAGTGGAAGGCGGCAGATCAGGCGGTGTCGGCGGCGATAGATCCGAGCGTGAGATCTGTGGCGATGAGATATGCAGAGAGTTGTCAGAGGAGAGCAGATCTGGAGCAGAGGATTTTGGCGAGGGTGATCTATGACGAGGCCACATCGGAAGAAAGAGCAAGGATGCCCGCCTTCCCGCACTCCCCGCCGGCTACGTTTGTTCTGTGGGCGAGGGCGGAGGCGAAATTAGAGGAACCCCAGAGGGCGCTGCGGTGGGAATGCTTGCTGGGAGTGATGCCGTCGGGTGCACCACTGCAGCTCTCGTCCTCGCCGCCGGAGACCAACCGTGTTTGAGCCCATCTTCGCTGGCAGATGCCACCATCTCCTTCTTCGGAGCCGATCGATCCATACCAGTTGCCGGAGTTCTGAAGGGATCTGGGTTGGGGACACCTGAAGTTTATGTTTGATCTTGGTGGTTCAACATCAGATTGTGTGACTGTACATGGAAATGATATGGAGGAATCGAGGCCTAGAGGAAGATTTTGGGCCCTAGATCAATTGGGTGATGATGATGACATTCTAAATGAGGACACAGAGCAACACAACCCTTATCTGGCGACAATTACAGACAAATTTGCTTGTGCTAAGCATGTGAAGAAGAATGGGAAGAGAAGAGATAAGAATCTAAACAAGAAAATCAGTAGCAAAGATGAAGGGAGAGGAAAATCGGCAACTAAACAAGTAAGTGATATTCCTAGTCACATGCCTTTTAGATTGCTATCTGCTAGATGTGGCCTGATACAAGATGGGAGATGGTATAAAATTGTTTATGGTAGGAAGGTAGATATGGGGATTGGTGTTGAACCCAATTGGATGCATATGGGACATGGGTGGAAATAGGGGTGGTTCTCAGCACGATCGCTGATTGAAGCTCCTCTCTCAACACGATCTCCAGCACGCCAAGTGGGGGAAATAGGAGAGGATTTTGAATTTAGGGGAGATATGTTTATCTCCATCCGCACGTTAAACCGGACCGGACCAAAAGGAGGCAAGATAAGTCAGGAAAAAGTATTTGGGATGAGTGGGAGAAAAGTAGGCCAAAAAAGTTGGAAAATATTAAGGCCCACAAAAGAGGCAGGTTATATAGCACGGGGGTTGGCCCTGGGGGTTGAAACCGATCTCTTCCTACGTTCTAGGGTTTCCCACCCGTGGTGTACACCCCCCATCGCCACCATAGGAACCTGTTGCCCCCAAACCTCGAGGATGGTTGATCGCTTTGCTCAAGGAAAGGGTGGAGGTGGAAGAGATGTAGAGAGAGGAAGTAACTGGAAGCCGACTGCTGGTTATGGGAGAGAGCCTCAATTCGACAGGCACGATCAGGGATATCAAGCTCGACCTCGACCCCCCTTCAGGAACTTCTCAGGTAACCAATTCCAGAATCACTTTGGTAGAGATGGATATGGGAACTGGAACCACGAAGGGGGTAGTAGTGACACGCGTCAATTCTAGCATAGACCGCTAGCTCAGATCAACTTGCCCCCCGCTGTTAGCAAATACCAACAGAAAACCAGTGCTGCGACGAGCAGTGGGGGAGGGGTAGGTAATGAAGCCCAGACAAGCCAATTCTGCTGGGGCAATTCTAACTGGAACTCGGGGATCAGTTGGAATTCCTGAAAGCAAGCTACTGGCAACTGAAAAAATTATCTTCCATAAATGTGGAGAGAAAGGTCACAGTTTCAAAGGTTGTGAGGCAACAGTCAAGTGTTCCATCTATACAAAAGACACTCATATTGCTGAATTCTGCGCTTGGCTACATCAGAAAAAGCCGACGGCAGCGCTGGTAGGTTTTGGAGGAGAAGGGCTGGGCATTTTTGTGTCTGAGAATGCAAAAGACTTGGCTGGCAGTAGCAAAAATGATGATATGGCTTTGGTTAGGCTCAGGGAAGGATATGATATAGATATTGACTCAGATGATCTTATCAGAAGTCTGGCAAAAACTTATCCTTGGAGATGGGATTGGAAAGAAAAAAAGTATCTGATGGAGTGTTTTTGGTGAATTTCCCATATGCTGCAAGGATTAATGAAGCTGCCATATATGACTGGGTTCCTTTGAAGGGTGGTAACATTTTGATTAATGTGAAAATCTGGAATGATGATGCTATGGCTGTTGGCAAACTGTCAGTGGTGTGGGTCAGAGCTAAAGGAGTGCCTAAAACCATGAAAAAATATCATGGATTGTGTGAGGTTGGTTCCATGATTGGGTATACACAAGCTGTTGACATGGATTTCCTGAATAAGAGTGGTCTAGTCAGGCTGAAGATTGTTGTGGTTGATCACACAAAAATTCCTAGATGGACTAAACTGACAACTCCTAACCTCATGGTTTACATAATTTTCTTTGAAGTCGAGGAGGTGGTAGATGAGGGGTGGGCCAGAGATGAAGATGAGCTTTCCCAGGGATATGAAGAATGGATGGATCTCCAACATGAAGAGGGTGAAAGCAGGGATGCAAAGAAAGCAAAGACTGGGGAAAAGAGACTATGACTGTTTGTGCCAGCACTAGAACGATAATGGCCTTGGAGGATAGAGATGTTGTCATCAAAGAATAAGAAGCTGCTGGCAAGCTGGCATATAACAAAAAGCAAGATAATGACATAAAGAAAGTGGATACCGAGGAAATTGGATCTACATCAGTCAACGGAGAGGAGGGGAAAGGAGATGAGAAGGAGATTCCAGAAAAAGTGGCTGGAGATAACCATGATGAGGTACCATATCACTCAGTTAGCATTGGCACAAAACTTGGGATAGAGGTTTCGGAAGATATGGTGATTGAAAATGCAAATGGTGCTGAACAAACTCAAGGGTTTCCGAGATACATTGGGAGGATTGCTTCGAAGAACATAGGTGGTATTCCTATACTAGATAGATCTATGACTTTGGCCAGGGCCAAAAATTTAGCACTATCTTAAGGTATGTCTGAAAAAACTAATGTTTCTTTTCTTGAGAATGTTGAGTTAATTGATGTGGCTAACCTAATTGGAATAGATTTGGGGGTTACTTTAGACATGGTGGACTATAACCTGAAACTTATTCATTCATTAGAGCAAGCTAGAAGAGGGATTTATATAGCAAGTTCCAAAGAAAAAACAGATACACAGGAAGAAGAACTTGTACTGGAACCTGATGATGTTAACAACATACTTCAGGACTTGTTATCACTTAATAAAGATGATGATGATGAACAAGTAGACATGTTAATGCGAGAAGTACCTGGGGGGATTAGAGGGGGTCTGAGAACAAACAATGTTTCTTTTGAGGCTGTTGCAGTCAAGACCCCTGTTAAAACTGTGTTGAGGAGGAAGCAAAAAAAAGGAAAAATCAGTGATTTTTTCCCTTGCATTTTCTTTCTTGCCCTCTAGTTTCTGTTTTGAATTTGATTAGAGATGAGAGGCCTGATTTGGAATTGTAGAGGCATTGGAGATAAAAAAAGAAAGATCATATTAAAGATCAAATTGACAAACACAATCTTGATTTTGTGGGCATTCA